CTTGGCTGAACATCATGCGGAACGCATTGAAACCTTAAAAAGACAGGTTATTAGTGGACGGTAAGCAGTTTTCAATATTATATATACACATGTTTCAGGATTTCTTTGGTATGACATTTTGCTAATTTATCGTGATTATGTGTCCTTTATTAGTGATATTAAGAACGGACATGGCTTGTCCAAAGACTACAGTCGAGCAGAAACTACGACAAAGTCATCTGGATCAAAATCAAGTTGTACAGTTAATTATGATAGTTTAATTACTACTGAATTGAGGCCTGTAATCAAATCTCGTGAGTACCTACAACGGTGCTTAGAAGAGGTTTCGTATTTGTTACAGGATACAGAATACAACAATGGTGAATACATGCCCCCCGATCTACCTGGTAGTAGTGACCTTGATGGCGAATTTCAATTTAGAGCAAGTAGCAATAGCAATGGTCATAATGTGCAAAACATTGAACGGTCAGTCGAAAGTCCTTATTCTCACAAAGCTGAGCCTCAATTGGATGGCAAAAAACAAAGTCCAATTCCCATACATACGGACAATGAAGATAATAAACAAGCACCATTTTCCCCGCCTCCCATATTTTCATCCCCTTCTAGTCCGTCTTCTCGAGTACCTACAAAGACAACAAAAACAGCACGAACGAAATCACTTAAGGGTAGCTCTACTCGATCCACATCAAGCGATTTTGCATCAATGAAATTGGGTAACTATAGTTTCAAGAAAGACTTCACATTGGCAGGACATTTAGATATTGTACGGACAGTTGAATATGGGTCAAATCCTTATGAGCTATTCACAGCTAGTGATGATGGTGTAATTAAACTGTGGGATCTCAAAACGACCAAAAAGTATGAAACTTACTCGAACAATACTTACCGTGGTCATCATGGGATCATTTCTTCATTAGTTTACTCTGAGAATTTGAGGAAATTGTATTCTGCGGGTCAAGATGCCACTATTCGAGTCTGGGATCCTACTAAGACACTGGAAGTTGGCATTTTGGGGGGACATTCTGAAACCATCTGGGACCTAAGTCTATGTGATAGTAAAGGACTTATTGCCAGTGCCTCAGCTGATGGCTCAGTTAAGGTTTGGAATTTGGAGAGTAAACTCTTAACTACGATTGATCCCATTAAATCATATACTTTGTCAGAAGCTTTCACCAATAACGATACAGGTGATGTGAAAAGCTCAGCAGAGAGCAAAGGAAACAAATCATATCCATCACCATCATTTATGCCCAAATATTCTACAGAAGTTTCCGTACCTGCTATAACTCTTTGCTTTGTTGAAAGAGGTTCCAAAATTGCAGTGGGCTATCAAGATTCTAGTATCGAAATATACGATGTAGAAACTGGGCAATCAGCCTCTACGTTATATAAATCTGCTACCCCCAATTTCAACACAAAAGAAGATTTAATCACTGATAACAGTACAGTTATTCCATTCTCATCTAATCAAATTAATAAAATGGTTTATTCACCTAGCGATTCTCTGGTATTCTCCGCATTTGAGGATGGTTTTATAAGGTATCACGATACAAGGTCTGGACAAACTGTATACGAAGAAGCTCATGCGCATCTAGGTCCCGTGAATGCGTTATCAGTAGCTCCTGAGGGTGGTGCTTTTGTTTCGGGTGGCGGTAATCAAGCCTCGATGAAAATTTGGTCTGTACGTGAACGAATGGTGGTGTCCGAGTTTAGAGATCACGATGCGAAGAGTGCAAATAGTATTACTGATGTTCAATGGTGTAAAAGGACTTCAAACGGAACCCATGTTAATTTTATCGCATCCTCTGGTGGAGATTCTAAAATCAATGTATATAATTAGCATTTAGTCTTAATTGTAACTTGTGATATAAATTCCTTTTTCACTTTTTTTCTTGAATTTAAAACGTAAATAATACACTCATATTCCATCATACAAAAAATAACAATATCTATATAGAAACATGATAATAGTAACAAAAAAACCCAGAAGAAAACAAATCATGATATATAATTTCGCTAAATTAAATTGTTTAAGCAGCAACCTTCTTTCTTCTACCGACATGAGCCTGGAAACCAGTCTTAATGGAAGAAACTGTTCTAGTACTACCACAAGCTTGACAAACTAAGAAATAAAGACGGTTTTCCTTTTGTAAGAGTGTGTTAGCGGACTTACAGGTAGGGCAAGCAACATATTCCATGATATAACTTCTAAGGACATTTTCGATTTGCTTAGGTTGGAATCTACCTTTAATAATAAGTCTGGAAGCACCATCAATAGAACCGGATGTACCTAATTCAGCGAATAAGTATTGAATAACGTGTTCAGAAGGACGCTTCATTCTTTCGGAAATTTCTTTAACGTTAGCAAACAAGGACTTCTTGGAACCATCTCTTGTAACCACGGGAGGAGGGATCTTGTATTTTGTACCACGGTCACCGGCAAGTTCGGGGTTATTTTCACGTAAGATACCAAAAAATCGGGACAAAAGGTCGGAATATGTGAGATCGGTGTTGTCAGAGGCATTGTCGGATTTTTCTTCAGCAGAGCCTTCTTCAGCAACTTCATTGATACCAGCAGCTTCAAGTTGTTCATCGAAAGCGTCGGCAGCTGAGGACTTGGACTTCTTCTTCTTCTTCTTCTTGAATTCAAAATCCTCACCTTCAACAGGAGTGGAAGCCTTTTCTTCATCTTCCTCACCAGTAGATTCCTTCTTGGACTTCTTCTTCTTCTTCTTGTTAAGATCACCGAAGAGTTCAGTCACCTCATCGACTGCCTTTTCTCCAGTCTTGCTACTGCTCTTCTTCTTCTTCTTAAGAGTATCGAAGTTAATCTAATTAAAAACGAAATTGAAATGATCTCTGTTAGTATTTTCAATGGATATCAAATTGTGGGTTTGTCAGCATTATAAAGCGTCAAATCAGCTAGCCCGTGGCCAACCAAGTTCATGAAATGATCAATGTTTCCACCACATAAGGGTGGGCCAACCAAAGTTAAATTCAAATTAAAGTAAATCAGGTAAACATACTTCTTCACCTTCAACGGCGGGGACTACCTTCTTTTCTTCCACGTCACTCATTTTTGTGGTTGATATTATATACACACTTGATGAAAGCTATTCTATGGCAAGTCTGTCATACTACCCACTGACTCGCCTATGGTGTGGTCAATATTTTCATACCCGATCCTGGCAAGCTTCATTCTGAACATTACTCACAAAGAGCGTAAATTAAGACACTAGTAGAGTGGGTTTTCAGTTTGGTGCTGTCGCCGCTTCAAAAATAGTTGTCCCAGCAACCATACATTTGGTTTGGGCTCAGATCCCGTTGATAAAGAAGGCAAGCCTTAAGCTGTCCTTCGTAAGTAATAATAAAACGGTAAAGAATACAATTAATATTTATCTCAATTCTTTGTGAAAGTGAATGAGAACTTCATGGAACCAATGGCAAAATTCTCATATGTCTCAATTTTTTTTTTTTGTTTTTTTTCATTTATCAATAGGCACTTAGTCTTTTGATTGTCTAACAGTACGAGCTACTGACGTTTATCATCTAAAGAATGTATTTTTGTACTTTTACGCTAATCATCTATATTCAACCTATTCTGCTAATGTACAGCAAGGGCCCTGTAGAAAAATATGAAAGAAATCAGAGTTCGAACTTCTGCAATAAATGGTAATAAATCCAAATTTCTAATCAATACAAGAAATGGTTTTATAGTGTAGTTGGTTATCACCACGGATTTTGATTCCGTTAACCCCGGTTCGAATCCGGGTAAGACCTAAAAAACCCTTCATCTTAAGAATCTTATATCCTTACCATATGATTTAAAGTGATGACAAAATCCGTGCTTGACTATGAGGGGAGAAGTCCCTGATTATTATGAAAGCATAAATGATTTCTCAATTGTATTAGACTACAACGGTATCTGATGTAATCATTTTAGGATATTTTTTATTTGTGTAGATTTTATACATATGCAAATGTACAAGTCCATGCTACATCATTCACTATTAAGAAGCTTGTCATTATAGTTTTTCTTTGTGAAGCAAAGTAAATTATTTATTAATAACCTTATACTGGTTTAAAGAGATATTATTGGAAACGCATAAGAAAAGAAGAAAAAAAGTTAACCTTTAGTGCTGGCTTGTTTATATTAAATGAAATCAAAACTGATTACTGCTTTAATAATTCGGGCAGGTTCTCCACACTAAATATCCACCCCATTGAAGATGAGCCATAATCCTTACCAAATTAATAACAGAGATTTTGATATCTTTTATTAATACTATGAAGAAGAAAAAAGATAAATAGAAATAGCTATATAATGCGAAATAAATAAACATGAAAAAAATTTTAATTAAAAATCCAATTGGATACTTTTTATCGACACGTGTACAAAAACTAAACCAGCAATCTAGTTTTACTAGAGACCCTGGCGGGACTCGAACCCGCAACCACTGCCACCGGAAGACAGCACGCTACCATTGCGCCACAGGGCCGGTTTTATAGATTTGAATTGTCTATAGCTGATTGGTACTAATAACTAATATTTGGAGTTGTCTGTTTCTGTTCATGTTTTTTCGAGGACTTCATAAATTATTATAGTGTGTTTCCAGTATACTTTATCTGAATATTTTCCTTTGAATTAATTATAGAGTGATGGTGATCTAATATTTTTCTCTGAAGTAAATACTTTTGCCATTCTATAAGGTACGCCTTTTCCCTTTATACCAGAAACAGTGACGCTTCGGGTGATTACAGTCAACAGCTTTTCTCCTTTGCAGACGAGAAAAGTATACAAACCTTGTCGAGCAATGATACTGATAATATACCAGAAACAACAGAAAAGGTTGATCTAGTCAGTAAAAAGTGGGGTGTAACTAAAGTTTAAATATTACTCTTCATCTTTAATGTCAGAAAATGGTGGACTTTAAAACAAAAACCGGGACAAATAGCGGTATATGCTTGTTGGAAAATTTTAAAAAATCTAGTAAGACTAGAGACCCTGGCGGGACTCGAACCCGCAACCACTGCCACCGGAAGACAGCACGCTACCATTGCGCCACAAGGCCACTTTATACCTGTTTTTTAAATTTTGACTTATTTCATTATCATCACCGTCGTTTTTTTACAGCACAACTGTGCCTTACGGATGAAATTACGCCAACTGAACAGCTGTTTATTATACCGATAGTTTTGAGCATTTTTGGAAATGTTTTTCGGTTATTTTGTTAATTTTTTGGGTGTATTTGGAAATTGTTTTTATTTATATTCGGTTTTGAAGAGTTCATAAATTTTCGGCTTAAACCCTCTGAAGAGTATTCAGCATAGTTAAATTAAAAAAACCCAAAAGATGATCAAATAATCGGTCTTTATTCCTCTTAGGATTTTCTCTTTGTCATTACTCTTCCACCATTCACTTATCCCTTATTTTAATCACTAATCCGAGTTAGGGTGTAACGGATGACAACCGGGTGAGTTAGTAGCCGATATCCTTCAGAAAGCGTATTAGTGCCGCAGAAATGCAGGGATAGAAGCATTAAGGACTACAAATACATTGACATAAAAGTCCCAGCGTACCACCAACCTACAAACATCATTCCTATAGCGAAATAGTAGAGGTTGGTGTATAAAAATCTACATCTTTTTTGTTTTTGACTTTGTATTTGTTTCCAAGAAGACAGATCTTGTAGCTAGACCAATGGATATGAACATGCCGGATATTCCGACTGCCGTGGCCACGGCAACCGGCTTTGCAGAGGGCAGTTATGCCTCCTCGGCTTCCCCAGGCTTGGCAATGTGGGTGCACATCTTCATCATGCTTATCACCTTTGGCGTAATATTCCCTTTGGGGATGGTTCTGGGTTTGAACGACAATCGGTTTTACTTACCCGTGCAGACATTTGCGTCCGCGCTAACCTGTATGGGCCTTGTGGCGGTGTTGGTCCATGCGGGGAGAGAGTATAGAGGCCATGGATTTATGAATGGATTTGGCTGGGTATTGTTGTTGTTGACGGGGGTCCAGATTTCCCTGGGCATGATGATGAAGATAAGCAAGTGGCGCCAGCGCAAGTTGAGTTCAAAGGCATACGATTCCTCGGAAACCAAGTCCTGGATAATGAGTTTAATAGGCCGAGTCCATGTGTTAATTTCCTGTTTGATTCCCGTGCTGTCATGGGTTGAGATGGGGTTTGGATTCATTACGCTGTTTGGATTTTGCCATGAGGATCACCTTGGCCAGTGCTTGGCTCATGGTATTATGGGGTCGGCCTTTATATTTTACGGATTAGTTCTGGTCATTATGTTACTAGCCGCTGACCAATGGTTATTGAGGAGCGGCAAAAGTCAAGAATTTTATGACAGCGTTACGATTACGGCGTGGGGTATTGTCAACTCGTTTACCGAACACCGCTGGGGCAGCAATTGGTCTCATGGTGATTACCAACATACCTCCATGGGACTTATTTGGTGGGGCGCTGGTATGGTGGGTATCTTTTTAAGTAAGAACTGGCTGGGTGATGGAGGCTATCGCCGTAACCATATCCCGGCTTTGGTATTAATATTTACGGGCTGGAGTATGAGTCAACACGCGCAGCATTTGCCCATTTCCACCAAGGTTCATGGTTTTTTTGGTATTGCGTTGATGGCGGTAGGTGTTGTACGGATCATTGAGATTTCGTTTATTTTAAAGGACCAACCCCACGATTCGCAAGAGTATGGCCGGGGTATTAGATCGTGGCAGTATTTACCGCCTTTTTTGTTAGTGGAGAGTGGGATTTTGTTTATTGGTGCCACCGAAGAACAGTTGCAATTACTTAACGATATAGGCATTGACCACGGCAGTTATATTTTGACACTGAGTACGGCGGCATTCCTCATCTATTTGGATTTTTTATTTTTAGTGACCTTGCATAGAAGGCTTCGGGATAAGCGGAACGCGGTTCTTTCAGGATCCTCTGGGACGGCGAGCGGTCGTTACGCTAACAGAGATGATGACGTCGATGTGACTAACGGTAGTAGCCGCAGCCAGCATGAAAGTGATATTGAGCTCACGGGTTTACTGAGTGACGATGAGTAGTATAGACGCTTATTATAATTTTATCAGATAATTAAAATATTTTTTGTTTTTTGTTTTTTCCTTTTAATTTGGCCTTTTACAGAGAGAGGGGGCCCTCACGCGCTGGATATAAAAGATTATGTGGCTCAAACCAGAGGCCAAGACGAATGCACAATCGACTGGACCAAAAGGACGTGGACAAACCTGGGGTAGAATACCTCGCCTGAGGATGTGTGAGGACTTGGTATTTGGGTTACAGGCAGGATAACCGAAACCAGTTAAAATACTGGGTCAGGTACCGTGTAAAAACTTTATAATATGGGCCTGACGGGCTTTCCCTGATTATTGAGATCAAAGTCGCTTACCAAACCAATATGCGATTAGAGACTGGCCCAGAACGAGGGCAGCGCGGATGCGCTGGTGCAAGGGTGAGAAAACATCTGTGGATACATCTGTGGATAACATCTATGAATAAAGTCTATGAATAAAGTCTATGAATAAAGTCTATGGGGCGTTATAGAGCGTCTAGACACTAAGGTATAAATGTACAGCTACCCAGGGTTTATGTCATACAATCACTACTGAACTCGCCAACCAAAGCCAGAGGTTGGCGAGATAGAGGCTTATCTAATCCAGATAAACAGGGAGATGGATACCGTTTGAGTGGCAAAAGGAATAAAATGGGGGATAGAAAAAACCCACGACGACCATGACCGAGACCCGAGACCCCGGGGAAAAAAGACAAAGATAAGAGACTGCTGTGGCCATTCAGCAGTGTCTGAGGTCCCGTGATTTACGAGCTCAAAGTCCATAGCGGTTGAAAAAGTCCGCAAATCCAGAGACAGCGTTGGGCTACAAGAGGCAATAGAATTAGTAGGCATTGAGAAACATGGAATCTTTTCTAGTCTTTTCTGGTCTTTTTCTGGTCTTTTCATTTTTTTTTTCTTTTCATTTTTTCATTTTTTTCATTTTTTTCATTTTTTTCATTTTTTTCAAAACTACAGAGCCACCACACCACTGCCTCGGCTGGTGAGGGCCCCAACCCTGTCTCTTCCCCCCTGACCAAGTCCTGATGATCCGTGACTAAGCAAAAAACCTCGCCAGAGGTAAAGAGCCACCCGAAACGACGGGAATCACGCAGGTGACTCAGCAGCCGGTGGGTGGAAAGCTCGTACACAGAGTCTGACGGGTTCAGCCGTTGATTGGCCGATAAGCGCCACGGCCCCGCGTAAGGATCTGAGCCGCGCCGGGGCTATCTGCCAATAGAATAGAGAGTAGAGCGTGTAGCGTATAGCGCCGCGCATGGACGGCATCCCCGACGCAGTCCTGCAGGACTGCGTCATGCAGTCCTGGATCTGACGCAGCTCCCCGACACCTACTGTCAGTCAATAGCGTCGAGTCTCGAGTCTTTGGGTCTTTCAAAGTCTTTGGGTTCTTTGGGGTCAAAGAGTCCTGATTGGAACGATTATCTCCGGCCTCGCTTAGACACAAAATCCAATCAAGACCTTTTTCAAAACTTGTATAAAAGGTTGGAAAATTTCCTCATGTCTCTAGTCTCCCTCTCCTCCTCTTTTCTCCTCCTCTCTCTTATTCTTCCTCTTATTCTTCCTCTTCTTCTTCCCTATCTACCCACCAGAGAAACCCATCCTTCACCATGACCCAACCCGCCGAACCCGAATTCCAACAAGCCTACGATGAGCTTTTCTTCACCCTGAAGGAATCCACCCTCTTCTCAAAACATCCCGAATACGAACGTCTCGTTGAAGTCGTCTCCATCCCCGAACGTATCATCCAGTTCAGAGTCACCTGGGAAGACGACGCCGGTAAGCTCCAAGTCAACCGTGGCTACCGTGTCCAGTTCAACTCAGCCCTCGGCCCCTACAAGGGTGGCTTGAGATTCCACCCCTCCGTCAATCTCTCCGTCCTCAAGTTCTTGGGTTATGAACAAATCTTCAAGAACGCCCTCACCGGCCTCAACATCGGTGGTGGTAAGGGTGGTGCCGACTTCGACCCCAAGGGCAAGTCCGACTCTGAAATCAGACGTTTCTGCTACGCCTTCATGCTCGAATTATCCAGACACATTGGTCAAGACACCGATGTCCCCGCTGGTGACATTGGTGTCGGTGGCAGAGAAATCGGTTTCATGTTCGGTGCTTACAAGGCCTACAGAAACTCCTGGGAAGGTGTCCTTACCGGTAAGGGCCTCACCTGGGGTGGTTCCCTCATCAGACCCGAAGCCACCGGTTTCGGTCTCGTCTACTACGTCGAAAAAATGATCCAATACGCTTCCCAAGGCAAGGAATCCTTTGAAGGTAAGCGTGTCGCCATCTCCGGTTCCGGTAACGTCGCCCAATACGCCGCCCTCAAGGTCATTGAATTAGGTGGTGTCGTCGTCTCCCTCTCCGACTCTAGAGGTGCCATTGTCGCCACCGGCGAACAAGGTATCACTGCCGCCCACATTGAAACCATCGGCCAAATCAAGCTCGAACGCAAGCAATTATCCTCCATTGCCGACATCTTCGACGCCAACTCCTTCAAGTACATTGACGGAGCCAGACCCTGGGTCCACTGTGGTAAGGTCGACGTTGCCCTTCCCTCAGCCACCCAAAACGAAGTCTCCGGTGAAGAAGCCAAGTTCCTCATTGACGCTGGCTGTAAGTTCATCGCCGAAGGTTCCAATATGGGCTCTACCCTTGAAGCCATCAACGTCTTTGAAAGCGAAAGACTCAACAATTCCAACGCTATCTGGTACGCACCCGGTAAGGCCGCCAACTGTGGTGGTGTCGCCGTCTCCGCTCTCGAAATGGCCCAAAACTCTCAAAGAATTAACTGGACCTCTGAAGAAGTCGACCAAAAGTTGAAGGATATCATGGTCAACTGTTTTAACACCTGTGTCGAAACCGCCGTTGCCTACTCTTCCGAAAAGTCTGAAGGTCTTCCTTCTTTGGTCAAGGGCGCTAACATTGCTGGTTTCGTTAAGGTCGCCAGAGCCATGAAGGATCTCGGTAACTTTTG